GCTCAAGTAAAGCCTCTTGCTTCAGCCTTCCTAGAAGCTGTGACTACAGGTGCCAACCACAATACCTGGCTAGTTTTTCTATTTTTAGTAGATATGGGGTCTCCCTCTTGTTCAGGCTCATCTCAAACACCTGAGCTCAAGTAATCCAACTTGTGTTGGCCTCCCAGATTTCTGGGATTACAGGTGTGAGACACCACACCTGGCCTATGAAATATGTTTTATAGCAAATCCTATATTCTCTTATAGGTTTCCTCCAAATAGAACCTGAGATAAAGGCTTGCATGCAGGTAGTTTATTTTGGGAAGTAATTGCGAGGTATAGGAGAGAGGCACTGGGCAGAGTGAAACAGAGAAGGATGAAAGTCAACCCAGGAATGTATTCTCAAGTCCATCACCACTGTGGCATCTAGACTTAATCCTACTAGTGACCTTTTGTGAAGCCATAGAATGCACCACAGCATTGTCTTTCCAATGGATGGAGGAGGGAGTATTTATTCACAGTCTACCACCCATTTGCCCAAGGGTTGCCCCATGAAGTGTTAACTTTCTCGGTCCTTGGGGATTGCTCCTGTGTCAGAATGGCCAAGCAGACTCCTGCTGGCACCCTGCAGCCACAGAGAAGTCCTAGGACAGAAGCCAGAGATGCAGGTTCAGCTGAGGTGAGGTGCAGGCAGGTTACACTGCACACAGCTGACTGTCATAGCAATGGGGTGGTTTAAAGGAGAAATTGAGGAAAATGCGAAGGGAACACAAGACAAGATGCATCTATGAACAGCAGTATCACGAGCTGACCCATTCACAGGAAGTGATTTGACGCAAGTTCAAAAGTATGACATAGTGTAACAATTATTTTACATTTTAAATTTATTCATCATACATTCTTATCATCATAATAATTAATTATGCAATTTTCATTGTATGGCAAATACTGCCCTAAGCATTACTATTATTATTTCATTTAATTCTCAAAATAATCCCAGGGTGGGGGTTGCCATATATTCATGGTTTTCAACCAGGGGTGATTGCCCTGCAGGAGACATGTGGCCACATCTAGAGACAACTTTCGGCTGTCGGGATTAGAGGGGATGCTACTGGTGTGCAGGGAGTACAGCTCAGAGACACTGCTGCACATCCTATGACACATAGGAGAAAGAATTACCCAGCCCAAAATGTGAATAGTGCCGGGTGAGGCGGAAAACCCTGGCCTGTCTTCCTCCTCATTTTATAGTTAAAGAAACTGGGGCTAAATGAGATTAAGTAAATTTCCTCGGATCAGAAAGTTAGTAGGCAATGGAGTTGGGATGCAAATTTTGGTCTGACTCTACAGCCACTGCATGCTACAACCACACTGTATTACCACCCACCACAAAGAAAAGAGAAGCGCATTTAAAAGATCATTTGTGGGCTTGGCACCCGTAGCTCCGTGGTTAGGGTGCTGGCCACATGCACCGGGACTGGTGGGTTCCAACCCCATCAGGGCCTGCTGAAACAATAACAAAAGAAAAAAAATAGCTGGGCATTGTGGCGGGCACCTGTAGTCCCAGCTACTTGGGAGGAGTTTGAGGTTGCTGTGAGCTGTGATGTCACAGTACTCTACCAAGAGCACCACAGTGAGACTCTGTCTCAAAAAAGAAAAAATAAGTAAAAAGTCATATGTGGAAGGCACAATGTGAGTTGTATGTCACTTTTTTTTTTTTTTTGAGACAGTCTCATTATGTCACCCTTGGTATAGTGCTGTGGTGTCACAGTTCATAGCAACTTTAAACTCTTGGGCTTAAGTAATTCTCTTGCCTCAGCCTCCCGAGTGCCTGGGACTACAGGTGCCCCCCACAGTGCCTGCCCATTCTTCTGTTGCAGTTGTCATTGTTGTTTAGCAGGCCCAGGCTGGGTCGAGCCCACCTGCCTGTAGGTGGCAGGCACCGTAACTAATATCACTTACTGTAGTAGTCATAGCCGAGGGTTTAAAAGTGCAGGTAATGATTGGAAATCATTGGTATTTCTGATTTTATAACATATATCTATTAGAAAATCGAAAGGATTTGACTGAAGTCACATGTATTCTCAGCCTTTCTCATCACTCTGTCATGCTATGACATCAATGCAAGTCCCATGGAAAGGAATGCAGTATGGGGGTGTGGTAAGTTTAGAAAAAATGGGATAAAACTGCTCATATTCAGGGAAAAAGCACAGATTTTCAAATCTAGATTCCTTGTCCAGATTTTTTAGCTGTTCCCTCCTTTTTTAGCATAGCAGTTTATGATCACCACAACTTTTAGACTCTTCATTTTCAAAGAAATGTATTATCATTCATTAGAGTTGCTAACCCGAAGCAAGTCCAAGGCTGGCCAGCTCTCACACTTGCCAGCAGTCAAGGTTAATGGTTTCCCAAGAGAACTTGGTAAAAGGGTATTCTGATACAGAATAAACAAGGCAGAGCATGTCATAGTACACAGGATTTGGACCTTTTCCCTCCAATAGGGGATAGATCTAAAATACGGCAGATCACCTATGTGGACAGAGGAGAATAGGAGACAAGTGGATCTAGGGTAGGCTTTGTTGGTGGACAGACTTGAACTGGAATCCCAGCTCCGCCATAAAAACTTGGGTGATTGACTTAGTTTTCCTAAGCTTTTATTTCCTCATCTGCAAAAGTAAGCCTGACATATGTAGGTATTCAATAAACATTAGCTATTAATTATATTTATTCGATTTTAGGGCCTCAAGAACAGAAAGATGAATCAATCATATCCTTCAACTCACTGTACGTGATGTTCATGGATCGGTGCAAGTTATACACTGACTGTGTTGCCTTCCGCCTTCTCTTTCCCCGTCCCTCCTCACATTGCCGTTCTCTTCCCTTATATGGTGCTCAATCTGTTACGTCTGTTGTATATTCTTAGATAATGTTTACTTGAAAAAAATGAGTACATATCCATATATGGGTGTCTCTAAGGTTTTGAAAATTAATATGGGATATTTTGCCATAGTACAGACCTGGTTTTTTTCTTTTTTCTTCATTCAACACAATGGGTTTAAGACCTATTCATGTTGTTGCGTGTATCTCTAGTCGTTATTCCTAAATGTTAGCCTAGTCTTCCGCTCAGTGTGTCTACCACATTTTACCTACCCAGAGCTGCTTCTGAGAGGCACGTAGGCTGCCTCCCACTACCTTCCACCCCAGTCGCACTTTGATGAGCAGCCTGCATGTGTGCCCTTCTCACCTCAACACAAGCCTTTCAAAAGCTCCAGAGCAGCACTGAATAAGGATCTATACACATTTATGAGGAAAGAATCTTTGAAACCTGGGAATGACAGACAAAATTGTCATTATTTATAGAAGACATGATGATCTACATATAAATTCAATGAAATAAAAAGACAAACTTAAACGGGAGTCAAGTAATTCAGCAGGCTTGAGAAACAATATCAAATTTACAAAAACCAGTCTCCTGTGTCTACATTAATAATTACCAATTACTAGTAATTACCAATCATGAAATATAAAGAAGATATAGCTCACAATAGTAACAAAAAGTATAAACTTTTCAAAAGTTAACTGAAATAACACATGAGACTTCTATAATATTTTTTAAAAAACTCTATTAAAGGATGCAAGAAGAAACTTGAATGAAAGGAAAAATCTAACACTGTAAAGATGAAAGTTCTTCCCAAATAGGTTTATATATTCAATACAATGCCATTGAAATTTAAGCAGAATTTTAAAAGCAACTTGACAAACTTACTTTGAAATTTATATGTTATAATAAGGTTTGTGAATACATAGATCAATTGGAAAAAAAATCAGAGTAAAGACTTGTCCCACCAGATTTTACAGAAATAATAAAAAGTGGCAAAGTCTTTATATAGAAAAGACATATACTAGGAGAGTAGAAGTGGAAGGCACGGCCAGATGTGTGTATATATGAGACTCTGGCATTTGCTGGAGGCGGCTCCACAAACTGTGAGAGAAAGTATATACTATTAATATTTAACAGATGAGGCTAAGGAAAAATGGCTCAGTATAAGGAGATGAAGTTGAACCCTTATCTCACACTCTGTACAGACAGACTTAAGCATGTTCATGTGTGTAACCCCCTGAAGTATATAAGATATTGAATGTGAATGATAAACTTATAAAGTTAATAAAAGAATGTGTCATATAGGGCGGCATCTGTGGCTCAAAGGAGTGGGGTCCTGGCCCCATATGCTGGAGGTGGTGGGTTCGAACCCAGCCCCAGCCAAAAACTGCAAAAAAAAAAAAAAAAAAAAAAAAAAAAGAAAGAAAGAAAGAAAGAAAAGAGTATGTCATATAATATCCTTGTCCTTGTAAACTTAGGGGAGGGAAAATTTTATTTTAAAAAGACCCCCAAAGCACAAACCATAAAATTAAAATTACTGGATTTAAGAACATCAAAATTCAGGGTTTTGGTTGGATAAAGTATTTCGTAGCCAAATTAACAACTGCTAGATTAGAAGTGAACATTTGCAATATTTAAGAAAAAAGTTTCTTCCAAATGACAAAGAAAAAGATAAGAACCTCAATTTTTAAAATGGGCAATGGATGTAAACAGGTAACTCACAAAATGGAAACCCCCAAATTATCATATATATATGATATATGATATATATTATATATACACACATGAATGAAGAGGCTTACCCACATGAGTGATCAGAAACTACAAACTTAAATAATAAGTTTGATGCCAAACACATAACATACAAGGCTGAAAAAAACCTGGACAGTTGGATAATGCCAAATATAGGGGGTGGGGAGGGCTGGAAGGAAAGGGCCACGTGCTGCCGCCCCGCCCCCCCACCGCCACGTGCCCCTCTCTGCTCATGCGCCAGGCTCCGCGGCATTTTCAGCCCCTGCACAGTCAGAGGAGGCTGGGCACCCACTACCACCTCCAAGTCACAACGTCGCCGTCTGCAGCCAAAGGGAAGATACCTTACTTGAGACTTTGCAGCTTTTGAAGTCACGCTGGGCTCCCGGGCACCATGAGGGGACGGGCCCGCGTGAGGGCACGAGGCATCGCCCGCAGCCCCAGTGCCGCGGAAGTGGGGCGCGCCCCGGTCTCTGTCTCGGTCTCGCCGTCGCCGCTGGTGTGTACAGTGCTCAGCTGCCGCAGTGTCGTCCTCTCCCACCTCTCCCTCCGCCCTGCCGTGCCTTCTCTGCATGCTGTCACATCCTCTCCTTTCCAAGGCTGCTTACTTTTTTCCTCCAGGGCTCTTACTTGAGTTAGATAGTAATGTGGGTGTACTAGTGAATGGAGTCGTGGCAAGTGTGTCGTTCTTTTCTACTTTCTGAGATTTAATTATTCAATTCATTGTAAAATTTCTTGATAAAACGTTATGTACTTTCATGTCATTACAGAGAGTATAAACTAATATGCGATTTGTCTTGCTAATTAGTAAATAAAAATAAGCGATGTCAGACACAGGTTTGGTTTAGAATCAACTACTGTTTCTTGAGCAACCAGTAGTGGTGGGGCACCTTGTTGAACTTAGGAAACCAGAGATTTGACCTGCAAATAAGCAAATTTGGAGTGCGGTACAACTGCATATATTTTTGGAATTTCGAGCAGTCTCGAGAAGAGATTCGAATGAGTAGTTTGTGGTCGTTATGCCTTAATTGTCATGAAATAGTTTTCCCTTGACATTGCTCAGTTTTTAGTAAGCCAAGATGTGGTAAAAGAAGAAGTTACAGTGAAAAAAGTCGTTATAGTGAAGAGAGAAAATACTGATTCCCCCTGCCTATTTTGTGAACGAATTTTGGTCCGGTTTATTCCAGGAGAGTCATCACCTGAGCTGGTGACCCAGGTCCTCTGGGCTTAATTTCTTGTTGTGTGCATGAGCCATGTAAGCAAGAGGTCCCTGTGCATCTGTCCCTGTCCCCTCTGATGAGCTCTCTGAGCACAGGATCGTATCTCTTTACACCCCCAGAATCTAACACGGTGTTAGGCTTACAGTCAGTACTAACATCAGAGTTTGACGAGTGGGGAAAACTATCACTTGTCCTAATCCTTTTCTCCAGCATTGCACTTTCTTCTCATTGCTCAAGAGTTCACCTGTTAACATTTTGTTTTTCTAGTCCATAGTAATCTAATGATGTAGTATTGTTCTTGTGATAATTTTTTGGTTTGTGAATTACCATCTTAAATTCAAACAAAATTTTTCCCCCAATCTAGCCTCCACCTGTTGCTCTCAGTGACAATGAATCCACCTCTAGCAGTGGCTTTGTGGAAACGAGCAGTAGCTCACTGAACTGTAAGTGCAACCCTGTTCCATTTAGTTCTGTTCAATCTAAACAGAGCAAGAGTGACACTCTTGGCCAGGCAGGGTGGCTCATGCCTGTAATCCTAGCACTCTGGGAGGCTGAGGTGGGTGGATGGGCTGAGCTCAGGAATTGGAGAGCAGCTTGAGCAACAGCAAGACCCCTGTCTCTTAAAAAAAAAAAACCAAACAAACAAAAATAGCATGATGTTGTGCTGAGCCCCTGAGAGGCTAAGGCAAGAGGATTGTTTGAGCCCAAGAGTGAGTTTGAAGTTACTATGAGCTGTGGTGCCCCAGGACACTACCAAGGGCGACAAAGTAAGACTGTCTCAAAAAAAAAAAAAAAAAAGGGACACTATTAAGCCCCCCAGCAGGCTCACTTCTTGTGCATTCTCAGATTCCTTTCTTTGAAGAGTCCCATTTGTCATGTTTCTTGGGTTTGGGACTCTCCAATACAGTGTCAGCTGTTACATATCCTGGCAGTGCTTGGTACAAATGGGAATTCGTAGACATGAAGAAGCCAGTTCTGGGCAGTGGCTGTGGCTCAAGGAGTAGAGCGCTGGCCCCATATACCAGGGGTGGTGGGTTCAAACCCGGCCCCAGCCAAAAACTGCAAAAAAAAAAAAAAAAAAAAAAAAAGAAGAAGAAGCCAGTTCTCTGTTTCTTTCTGGTCACTGAAGAATTTTGAAAAAATATTTTAAAAATCTTTGTAATATTGGCTGAGCACCTGTAGCACATACAGCACCAGCCACATACACCGAGGGTGGTAGGTTTGAACCTGGCCCTGGCCAGCTAAAAACAACAATGACAACTACAACAAAAAAATAGCCAGGCACCTGTAGTCTCAACTACTTGAGAGGCTGAAGCAAGAGAATCGCTTAAGCCCAAGAGTTTGAGGTTGCTGTGAGCCGTGACACTACGACACTCTACCAAGGGCGACATAGTGAGACTCTGCGTCAACAACAACAACAAATCTTTCTAACATGTAATTACCAGTGCCATCAGCTTGTAGGGATGGTAGAAATCTGGCAGACGTGCTCTCTTCTTTCCCACCTGTGATAGTCATCACCATATGATGGTATCTCTCTTCCCTGCAAAGCGAGATTTGGTCTCAGGATCTCTGTCAATGTGCTACTCCACGTAGCCACTATCTCACTGGGTAAACTGGGATGCTCAATGCATAAGTTCACTGGGCTGCTGTACCAATGTAGCCCAGAAGTGGCTTAAATAACAGAAATTTATTTTCTCACAATCCTGAACGCTCGAAGTTTTAGGTGAGGTGTCAGTGAGTTGGTTTCTTCTAAAGCCTTGGCTTAGATGGTGGACTCCTCCTTGTGTTCACATAATCTTCCTCTGTGCATTTCTTAATTCCTCTGCTTACAGTGTCAGTCATATTGGATTAGGGACAACTTTAATGACTTCACTTTAACCACCTCTTTAAAGATCCTCTCTCCAAATAAGATCACATTCAGCGGTACTTGGGGTTAAGACTTCAACATATGAATGGGGGGGGGCACAATTTAGCCAGTAACCCCAAGTAAAACCAGTCAGCCATCTCCCATGTTCTAATCACAAAGTTAAGTGATTGGTTTCTCATAAATATGTGAGCTCTTAGGTTTTCCCAGACTCTGGGGATTTGGACCCTGCACCCATCTTGTGCCTGACTCTACTGTTCCTCTCTAGGGGTTTTTAGCCCTATTTAATGTGCAAAAGAAAGTCAGCATCTCCTATGTTCTTTTAAACAGGAAATACTCATTTGGAAACAGATTTTAATTTCATATTTTTAGAAGCTACAGTAATATTTTCAAGGTGAAAAGACTGGCTTTCATTTTCCTGGGACATGATCTAGAATAAAAACTTATGATAGTGTTCTGGGCAATTTTCTGGGCACCTTTTTTGCTGGGAAAGATGAAAGATTCTGCTTCTTTCTGAAGTCAGATAGAAATGAGTCTGTGACTCTTCAGAGTGTTACACAAGAGCTAATAGGGGGAGAGCTGCCCTCTGTAAATAAGTGTGGGGTGGGACATGGGGAGATTGGTAGTAAGAAGAGAAAGTCTACAGCATTGGAAGAGTGAGGACTAACTCAAAAACTGCTATTTCTAACAAAACAAATTTCTTCATAATTTCCATTCTTTAGGCTGAAGATTTATGTATATTCATGAATGTTTTTACAACATGGGCATGTTTTATTAAATATCCCAAATTTTCATTATAAGTGCATTTTTGATATAGTAGTTGTAAACAATATTACTAGAATGAAATATGAGCTATTGCTGCACTTTCCTCATGTTTTAGGTAAAAATGATGCATGTTCTGGAGACGATGGAAATACTTTCACAAAAAGAGACGTGACAATCAAACGGAACTTCATGGATTTGGGTATCTGTACCAGAGAGAAGTTGGCACATGTGAAAGATTGTAAAACAGGTATCCAGTCTTCATGTTAACTACTTTTCTTTCTTTCTTTTTTTTGAGACAGAGTGTCAAGCTGTTGCCCTGGGTCAAGTGCTGTGGCATCACAGCTCACAGTAACCTCCAACTCCTGGGCTCAAGCGATTCTCCTGCCTCCACCTCCGAAGTGTCTATAGGCACCTGCCACAACACCCGGCTATTTTTTGGTTGTAGCCATCATTGTTGTTTAGCCGTGTTAACTACATTTTTAATGTTACCAAATCGTGCTTAAGGAATTACAATTTCTAGGTATAAAATAAACAAGTTCATGGTTCACTGCATATTTATTAAACATCTGCTATGTTCAAGGCTTTGTTAGACACTTCCCATGGGGCATCTATTTTTTATTAGTAGAGATAATAGCATCTTCCCCAAACTGTATTTCATTTTTTAAACTATTTTTTACTTTGGAAAAGATTTTCTCCTTATACCTGGGGTGGGAATTAAGAAGATGCTTCTTCTATTTCCCAACCTTTTTACCCTATGTGGAGAATAATAACCTTTCTGGATTTGAGCTGTAAAGAGAAAGATGTGGCCTATTGGGGGAATTCTTTATCCAGATTCCAGGCTCACCTTTAGAATAGCATGCACAATTGTAGGTATCTGTATTTTCTGGGAAATTGGTCTGTTGTTTTCATTGGATTTTTAAAAGGTGTTGTAGTTCCCTCGCAGAACCCACCGATGCAGATGAGTGTTTTCTTCAGACTTTTTAAACACCAGGCAGCTGGGTGAGAAATCAGTATATTAACCAGTATACACACTGGACGCCCACAGACAAAGCAAAAGTTTCACAGAGCAGTGCCGACCCTTGGTACATCCCAGGCGCCCTATTCTGTTGCATTCTGGCCTTTTCATTAAACATGTGATTCAACTCAGTTTCATAACTGCAGCACAAATGGGGCCCAGGTGCAGTTTGAAAACACTAATGTAGACAATCTCCAAGGATCGTGCCAGCTCTGACATTCTAGGTTGACTCCTTTTATCCATTTATTAAACATGGGAATAGCTGAAAATGATGTCATTTCCTCAGTATTTGGGAGCACAAAAGAAAGCTGCTACTTCACTACAACAGCACAGTGAGGTCTTGTGCGGAGCAGATGTCTCTCCTGGGTTGAAACTGAGGAAATAGGAAGACACTGGTGACACCTCTTCCTTCTCCCCACCTCAGGGGCTCACCTTCCCACTTCCTCTGTGAGAAAAGCCACCCAGTGCTATTTGATATCATAAAACTATAGGAAGTGAAAAGTACTCCGAGAGTCTGCCCTGGGGAATGCTTATGTCATCCTGAGCACTCACCAAGTCTGTTGCTACCATCTCTGGTCTCCTCCTGTAGACTTTTAAGGTGTGAATAAAAATTTCTGTAGGGGGCTAGAATTCCTGGAAGTACACATGGCCTCCATGTGCCTGCAGAAAATAAAAGCCCAGAGGCCCTGTCTGTCTCCACACAGGAAGAGTGCAGTGCCTTCCTCGTTCTTCTCAACCTCTGAGAGGCTTCTCTGGGCTTGTATAGTGGTCTCACCACTGGACTGTTCAGAATTTTTAAAAGTATTGATTAACTATTGGCTGTCTGGATTTCCCAGAGGGTAGGGGTTGTGTTTTTGGTAAAAATCAGGCAAGTTCTTTATAATAGGAGAACAGCATTATTTCAGAGCAACGTCTGAAAACATTACTGCAACCTGCTGATTTGAATTGAGAGAATGGGAGCTGGGAGGAGGCTCTGGAAGGCTCCTAGGGTAGCTGGTTTCCCATGCTTCTGTCTCCCAAGGACAAGAACCTGATATTCACAGAGAGTATGATTGTCTGCTCCTAATGTTCTTACGGGGCCTGCTTCACACATGATCCTGTCTTAACTCCCAACATGTTATGACGATGAGCCTGCAAGTCTTAGAGTTTATCTTATGTCCCTGAACAAAAGTCTTTGCTTTACAGCAACTACCGTACAGATGCAAATAAGTTTTTAAATGAAGTGATTATTATCAACATGGTGTGATTTATTTATTTATTGGTAAAAATCTGTTTTGTTTGTTTGTTTGTTTGTTTTTTGTCTTCCTTAGGCTCTAGTGGAATACCTGTGAAACTGGTTACAAATCTCTTTAGTTTAGATTTGCCCCAGGACTGGAAGCTGTACCAGTACCATGTGACATATACTCCAGATTTAGCATCCAGAAGGCTGAGAATTGCTATGTTGTACAGTCACAGTGAATTATCCAACAAAGCAAAAGCATTCGATGGTGCCATCCTTTTTCTCTCAGAAAAGCTAGAAAAAAAGGTATCTTGTGGTTAATGTTCCACTCTGTGTTTGTGATTATATATAGACCTGTCTATTGATATAGGAGAACATATATGTTTAAAAGATTGTTGGAACAAATGTTTGAGTCCTGTCCTCTTGCCTGTTCCCTGGCCTGAGAGCCAAAAGACTTCTTAATTAAGATGCCACCAGTCATTGCTTTTCGAGTTAAGGAGCTGATGATTTGAGCTGATGATTTGACATTTTAAAAATAAGAGCCATAAGTATCCTTCAAATAGGCATCTTTTAAAAACTTCTCCTCAGCCATGGCACTCTACCAAGGGACTCTGTCTCAATTAAAAGAAAAACAAGACAAAATAAAACAAAACTTATCCTCAAATAGGCAAGACTTGAAGAAACACCATTTGGCCCGTGGCTTCAGAACTTTACATCTGTCTCTTTTTGTGCTCCTGCACAACTTTTCCTATGTATCCAAAGGATTTTATATCAGTCTGCAATTCTAGAACTGTTATTTCTTTTCTGACTGGTTCTGCCATGAAATAAGAGTTACTTATGGCAATTTAAAAAGTATTTTTTAAATGTTACTATTGGCATTGGCAATTGGATGTTTCATATTCTTTTATCCATTATTTTTACACTATCAATGTTTTTAATCTTAAAGGTACTGGCATTGATGTTATCACATACTTTGTTCTAAAACAATATTAATATTACTATAAGGAAAGCCCCATTTTCTGTATGAAAAATTAAAACGGAGCATTGGATTAGAACTTCATGCTTCTATCCTTTGAGACACTTAGTCTTTTTATTCAACATTTTGAACAGTATGAGACCAGTAGCATAGTTCTAAATTTTGAACTGTTGGGCACATCACTCTGGATTTTCTCAGGACATGTGTCTCTGAGCACTCTTGGGGCCTTTATTCTTTCATGAGACCCTGAGATTTGCAAGAGCTACTTGAGTGGTGATTTCATCTGGATATGGGGCTTTAAAATCATACCATGTGGCTACATTGAATGGGTTGGAAAATCTGGATCTGTACTTTTAGAAACATTTTTATTATTCTCTGTAAGTCCTTACACATCCTTCAATATTTTGTCCTGTGACCAGATGTGGATAGCATGGTAATATGGCTTCCCATACTTAAATGACATATTTCAAGTGTACTATTATCATTAAAGATCATTTTGTTTTGTGGATACATTTGTAGTAATACTTTAGAAATTTAGATGTGTTAAAGTTATTATATGCCACCCTGGAGTGGTCCAGCTTACTTCAGTTGTGAAGAATGGAGAAATTTTACTCTGCTGATGTGAGGAGTAAGTTAACATTACTTATTTCTTATCCAAAACGAGTGTGTGATGTGTGCCAAACACCTTTTTGATTCTAGGGATAAAGTTTACTGAGGAGGCAGGTTAGAAAATAGACTCTAAAAGCTTGGAAAGGATGAAGTACATAAATGCCTGTTAATTAACTGACTCCTAATTCCTTATCCTTCTGAAAAATCTCTGATCACTGATTGAAATTTATTGCCTGATTTGTGCATTCTTTTGTTTCAAAAACCTGTACTGTGTCCTGTCTGCTCTAAGAAGTTTTTTAATTGGGGAGCTGTTACAGAAACCTACTTATGCATTCATTATATTGCTAGAACATTGCTCCAGGTTATAAGAATCCTAGGATTTCACTAGAAAATTCCACTAGGGGTGTCCAAACCTTTTTTATTCTCTGCCACACATTGGAAGAATAAGAGTTGCCTTGGACCACAAATTAAATACACAAAACTAGCGAAAGCTGATTAGCAAAAAGAAAAAGTTCTGTGGATAATTTTCATGATCTCTGATACCACAGATAGGCAAAAAAACTCCCACAGGGCGCAGGTTGGACACCCCGATGTAGACCTTCCACAATTTATGAAATCAGATTTTCTGTCTCTTCTAACTTACGCCACTTTCTCTTCTTTCTCCCCATGTTTATTTTCCCTCTTGCCTGTCACGTCTCTGCTGCTTTCTTTCTGCTCTTCTATATTATGAGAAAACTTTTCCTCTGGAATCCATGAAGTTGGGACAGGCAGGGTAGCCCACTAATAGGCTTCTGGGCATCCCTAAACCCTCTGAAAATGGGTACATGCTGTACACTGTTGTGGTATATACTGTGCAAAATTTTCTTGACATAATGTAACTCGTATCCAACTCTCAAAGTAATTCAGGACCCATCACCTCCCTATCCCTTAAAAAGCTCAAGAACCACTGCCCTAGAATTTTCTTTGAATCAGATCTTTGAACCATGAGTCTGACTTGGATTCTCCATTAAGCAGTTAGAGAGTAAAGAGTTGTGGTGCTTTTTTAGAATTAACAAGATACAGAGGAAGGAACCCCCTGAACATCATGTAATGATGAGGTTACTGCTCGGATGCTGACGCCTGCTGTTTTGTTTGTTAATGCACGTAGATTGTGACGGCTTTATACTGTATATTCTGCACTCCTGGGGACAGTTTGTGGCGTGTGTATTAAGTGCCTCTTTTCCCAGGTCACAGAATTATCAAGTGAGACTCGCAGAGGTGAGACTGTGAAGATGACTGTCACCCTGACGAGTGAGCTGCCGGCCAGCTCCCCAGTGTGCATCCAGGTCTTCAACATGATCTTCAGGAAGTAAGGCCCTGGGCAGGCAGCGTGACTGTGGGCTAGGGAGACCTTCAGCCTGAAGCACGTGTGTTCAAATATCGGCCATTTGTAAGCAGCGTGCCGGCCACAGTGTCATCTTCAGGGCTGCTTTTCTCGTCCTTCTATGTACTTGAGTGATAACGTGCAGCACAGTTCAACACAGCCTCTTGGTGGCACAAACTGTGGCTGTCTAGTATTAACCCAAGTCGAGAGGGGCACATTCACCGCCTCTCACTGCAGCAGGGAGGGCCCTTTTCCCTTTTTTATTTTCCTGTGGCCTTCCCTCCTTGCCCCTTTCCTCCAGACTTTGGAAAGTGCCCCATGTTTGGCTTTGCTTCTTTTTCTCCTGGCTGATTTGGGATGTGGAAGACATCGCCCTGTCTTCCTGCCTTGGCTCCCCCCTCAGCCTTTTCCCCTCCCCACGAGTTCACGGTTGTGGCCACGTTTTTCAGAGTTCTTCAGACTGGTCCAAAGATCACATGCTCCAAATTCATCCTGGGGACAGAGCAGAACTCCATGAAATGCAGGTTTTCTGGCCCCTCACTGCTCTGAGTTAGGAAATGATTTCATGGGCAGGGGCTGAAAATGCACATTTTAAGGGTACACTGAGGCCCAAGGGCATGTGCACTCAGGTACACTGAGTCCCGAGGGCATGTGCACTTGGGTACACTGAGCCCTGAGGGCATGTGCATTCAGGTACACTGAGCCCCGGGGGTGTGTGCACTTGGGTACACTGAGCCCTGAGGCGTGTGGGCTCAGGTACACTGAGGCCCAAGGGCATGTGCACTCAGGTA